GGGCAAAATTATTTCGTGGAGAAATATTTAGCCAGAGGATAGACGCCGATGCATATAGCCGCGTCGATGAAAACTTTATTGGGCAAATTGAAAGTTCGAATACGAAACGTGAAATATGGTAATTAGACGGAAGTGCGGCATTGCAACGTTTTATCGGTTGACTCTCGAGAGCGGAAACCGGAATTTGTTTACCACGGGAACACGAAACAGGATAATTTCCCGTTCAAAACCTGTAATCAGAAATTAATAGGAGAAGAGGAAGCGGGAGGAGACCGGGGAAAGCGAACGTTAGCCCCTATTATTCGTGTTTCCAATTTTTCATTCTCTATAATTTATATGTTTTACAACTGTATTCTGTCCTTTCCTTACGTTGGCAATTCTTTTGTAGTATTAGAAGTTACATCTTCGTACGTTAACCGCCGATATCGTTGACGGTTCAAGCGAATATTCATTTTCGAATTTCTTCAACAGAAATTTTGTTTCTATGGAAAAACGTTTCAATCGTTCGGGTAAGCATCTGAAAATTATTTTAGATTTTTTGGAGATTTAGAACGACGAAGAAATTAGACTTGCATATGAACGATTTGATTTATCCGCGGAAGCTTAATTATTTAAACTGCCATTTAATGATATCGCGTATTAACCATCGTTGTATTCAGTGCGATTGTAACGTCAATTCATATTAGAGGCCGCCATGTGTGTGCAGGACTTCACCGCGTACCCTCAAGTACCCCAGGGACCCACCATAAACTTAAACTTTTAGTTTATTATTTTTGTAAGTGTTTTTTGTAAGCTGGGTTTTCCCATAAACAATATCACCTACTAGCCACGTTGGTAGGAGGCTTCCTCCTCCTATCTTCGTTTATTAACGTGGCCTATAACCAATTGGCATCGTGGATCGTTACCCTCGCTTTTCCTAACGAAAGGTGCGAACAGCGAATCCGCGTTGTTCTTAAAGAGGGCACACCCACACCGAGCTTTCCTCCGTAATAAGACGAGAACACCTAGACAGAAAAACACTAAACGTACGAGTAGTGAACATGTCTCCGATCAGTCTCGATTATTGTAAACCTGTGCTGTGTTAGTAAATAAAGTCGGTTAGAAAATAAAGATAGTAGTTGCGTTACGACTCAACCTTCTTGTTGTATCATCTAACCCTCGACTTCACGTGACACGATCATCGCGAAGGATTTGATCGTCGAGAATGGCAGAGAAATTTCCAACAGTTTTATCGCAGATCAATTAAGTGGAGATTAACTTGTCGAACGAAAAATTAGAACGTGTGTTTGGATTACGAACATATTTGAATGTAAGGAGTAGCAACAAAACTGAAGCTAAAGATATGTACATTCTAAAACGTAAACGTTCCTTCCAAGAACGTGCAAACACTCGTGAATAACAATGTAGCAGGTCCGAACGGCAACCATATGTCGTCTCACGCATAATACAAAACCGTCCCCGGAGAGCTGGTACTCCGTCTTGACCTAATTCGTTCCGTCTGGGTAACTGACCTAGCCTAACCGCTGCTTGCTTCCCTTTTCTACCGTCTTCCACAAACCCTTCATCCTTCGTCAAAGGCGGAAATCGATCCAGCAAGTATTTCTTTAAACCCTCACGCTTTGAATCCGGAATATTCCTTACAAAGTTTCGTTGTTATACGTTGTGTATATTTTATTGATCTATTGACAGTATTTCTATTGACGCGCTGAAAATGATTTTATTGATATCCATGATATTTTACAAGTAAAAATTAAATCCTTCCTTCTAAGACTAAAATCACATAAACGTTTCTAATTCGTCCTGCAAACTGTGTAAATGAAGATTATGAAGCGTGCGAAGGTTTTACAGTCGACGTATCAAATTGATTTTATGATTTCTTTGCAACAAGAATATATATAGTAAAAATCTTGCGATATAAAGAAGAAACGAGAGCCGAAATCTTCTTCGAACCGCGAAAGGGTCGCAATAATTTTTCCTATTGTAATAATATGTGGTTATAATAATAAATGACCAGATAACTCGAAGTTGAAAACCGTCAAGTATATTTTTAAATAATAAATAAATAAATACGGAGAATGTTCGCTAAGACGCTCGGTACTAACGGATTCGCTAAAGGCAGTGTATAAATCGCTAATAAGATCGCTCGAGACTGATAAAAACTAGTCACCTTACGATCGCGTTCGTTTATTTATACTGGTCGGGGAAGAGTCGGAAAATTCAAATTCGTCCTCGTTTGACGGTTGCACGTAGCGGCGACATTGTTTTGTCCGGAGTTTATTCAATATCACGTTATGTGTATTCTAACGATATCGATACTCCGAGGCAAAACAACAAGATTCGAATTGTCCTCTAGCTCATGTGCCGCTACAAACATATAAATAATTCCTGTACATCGCGAAAACCAATTTTAACCAATCAGTCACCGTTGCGGAGTCGACAATAACCGTTTTAACGTGGCGCGAAGTCCCAAGCATAGCCAGTGACCGTACCCCACGCGAAGACAGACCACAATTCCAGCAGCCGTGATAGAAAGCCTGTCAGAAAAACGAGGAAAAGGAAACGCTGGGTTTGATTGTACGAACTCGAACGAGACACGAATAACAGCGTATGGATGCAAAGCGTATAATTCGATTCGATAATCACATCAATTCGAAAGTAGGACGAAGAATCGAGCGTGTCAATTCACTGGAGGAGGCTCGAACTAGCGTCTAACCGGTGCGGAGCTACAACGATTTTCACACGATCTACAAACCGTGTTGTATGCGCGTACACGCGTACGCGCGATCGTTTACCCGCTTCGAAACGCGTTCCCCGTTAAAATTATGCGCTTACACGCTTCCGGTTCGAATTGAACGTCGTGTGGAGTTCGAGGGCGAGGAGCGAAGCTAGAAATAAACGGAAAGGGGTGTGAGGTTAGTGCTCGGGGTAGAGGCGAACGATAGAACCGAGAATTATGAAAAATGGGAGACGAGGAGGTAAAATGACATAGGAGAAACGAAAGAATCGTGAACTGGAAAATATAGAGAAGAAAGAGAGGAAAATAGAAGGGAATACAATAAGGATTGGCTAATAGTGTCATAAATGTTTAAAGCTACTTAAAACGTAATTGGAGTTAAACAACTGTTACTTGACTTACACTGGTCGATTCGAATAAAATTTCTAATTATTTAATGTTAAACTGGAATTTTCTTCCAGACGACGACGCGATTTGAAGTAATTGCAAAGGTAACAATTTTAAGGATAACGATATTGAATTAAAGCAATTGAAGCAATTAGAGTAAAAGGAATGATGGGATTGAACACTCGTACCAAACTAAATAATTAAAATCGCGTGAGGAATAACAATGAAGACTTATGTCAAAGAGATAGTCAGGATAAATGTACGAAGATGACGTTTATGTATTATTTGCAGAAGCAGTGATCGAGGAGGAAATCTAAATATCTAATTACGTGTGAAAAACGATTTGAAAGACACCAGGGAGCTATCGAAGAGATAAATAAAAAATCGTTAAAAGTGTATAACGAGGGAATGGAAATTGTACGAAGTGAATGAAATTAAAGAAAAAGTAGCAACGTGATAGAGTAGGTGACACACGCGAGCGAAGAGAAGCCAAGCAGGAAGAGCACAAAGGAGACAAGGAAATGAAACGGTCTAGAGTGGAATAGAACTATATAGGGTGGGAGCAAGAGAGAGGAACGAACGTTTTCGCGACAATAGGCAGGATGTGCGAAGGGTTACCATTGCAAATCACAATGGTGACCGCAAAACGCGAATGACAGGTTGAATAGACTCGGCTAGAGCAACGTGCCTCGCCGCGAGCACTATTATTACCGGCATCTTTCTCTCCTTTATTCTGTCGGTTGTGTGGGAAAACGGCGAGGGGTGAGTTCTTTAATTCGTCGGAAGAAAATAAAATAGGAGAAGAAAAGAAGAAGAGAAAAAGGAGAAATCGGAAGACGAACCGCGTGCAATATCTCTATTCGCCTACGTAGAAAATTACCCTGAACGTTCGTAGGCGGAGAACTCGAGTGTTCGATGGTTATTCAACCTGTTTCGAGGGAAATGAAATTACCGTGATCGCACAAAGCGTACAACGATGCGGAAAACTCGACCGTTTTGTTCGACATAAACGTTTGTAAATTCCTTCATTTAGTCTCTTATAGCCGCCCCGCATTCTTTTCAGTTGCTCTTTTCTTTCCTTTCTAAATTTTTCCCTGGTATAACGCGTTTTACGCATAGCGAAATATATACTCGTATGTTACGAGGTGCATTGAGCACTACGTTTTATGATGCAGGTCACGACCGTGGGCTTTGATAACGAAGTTAGAAACGATATTTCGATGCAGGAATCGGGATATTAAAAATATCGGTTGGCGAGGGATTATTAACGCGAGAATCATTCTACTTACTCGAACTATCAAGAATCAGAGACGCGAAGTCGACTTGAAATCGATGCAATATCATAGGATCTAAGAGCCGATGTCTACTAAGACAGATTTCGATGTATTAATTGTTAAACGATTCCCTAGATAGGAAGGTGTTCGTTTTGCCTAGTTGCATAATTGGTTAAAAACCTTTTTATTTATCAAAACGAGGACAAGATTTTAGAATGTAAAAGTTCGAAGTCCTAAATACCGTAGTAAGATTACCAAACGTATTTTATACATGTTCATAGACAGATTATTATGGCATATTTATCGCGACATTAAGTAACACAGACTCGTAGACAATGCGGAGGTTTACGCAAGATCATCGACTTTCGGTATAAATTACCGCGACATTTAGCTGGAATACTTCTGATGCATGCGATACATAATATCCTCTAATGTTCCACTGAGCGGTAACATCGCACCCCCAAGCGACAGTGAAATATGAGCACGCCTCTTTCTACGTGCTCACACACGACAGTGCTCTCGAAATACACAAGAGAAAGCTCAGGTGCGGCGACGCTTAATTTGAAACGTTTTCCCGGCGAAATTCGACGCTAATCACCGACTAAAAGTCCGAACGTCAGTCGGGAAAATCCTTTGTACCGTTTATTAACGCAGCGCCAGCTAATTGCACGGTGATTCTGCACTGATAAACCATTCTACTATGACTGCTGAAGATTAAATACCGTAGAATCCTTACAAGACGACTCGAAGAACGTTACCATGCGAGCAAAGTAAACGAAAATAAATCGTGTTGCACGATCTTCGAGTAGAAAACGTTGCTCCAAGTTCTTTCTTGATGTTCAAATAAATAATCATCTCTCTTTTACTGTTATAAGTTGTATTAACGATAAGCCTGGTTTTAGAACATGTCATTCATCATTATGCTAACTGTTCTCTCCAAGCTTAAATCTTATATCATCGACTAATCGCTTCTATCATCTTCCTGTACCACAAGTTTCACGTATGATACATTGAACTTGGAATAAGCCGCAGGACTTGCGATTAGTAACATTCAATGTACTTTAAATTGAAATAAATATTTTCCTAACACCTCACATCTGTCATTCTTAATGAAATACCTTATTGGAACACACGCGTGATAGATCTACAGAATTTCAGGCATATTCTTATCAATTTTAAAATATAAATAGCTAATAAACAGAACCTCGAACACGTTTTATAATCTTCGCCTTTGTTCTATAATACCTTGTCTTATACAGATATCCCTTAAATTATCTTGTTTATTCGTTGCTGGACATCTCGCCCGAATTTCAACACCTATTTATTTCCTATATTTTATAAATCGTTACTGCTTCGCAAATATCACGGCGATGTAAAACGAAAGAAGAACACGAGAAGGAGAAACGAAAACAACCGTCGGTTCCTAAACTTTCTAAGTCTCCGCTAACAAATATTCGCTAAAGATTCGAATCATCGAGCAAAAAAGGAACGGAGCACGACGCTCGACGAGCAAATGAAGTTGCTGCTCGCAACAACAATAATCACGCGGCGGTAATAAAGCGTTCTGTCGCGATAGCAGGTTCCGAGTAACTCAACCGATTCGACGAAAGGAAATTCCGCCGCGCGGAAGGTCGAATCGTCTGGTGCTGCGTGCACGAAGGTAAGCGACGACGAAAACGGATACGATAATACCTGGTCGCACGCCATCCGCTTCAACGGGGCACTATACCGTTGCCAGCGTACGTAGGCTGCACGGGAAAATAGTAAAATCTGACCTTAAAATATTCCGTGTACCGGCAGGTACTTCGCTTGATTACCCAACAACACGTGCCACGAGATATAACAGCGTCTCTATTTGTCAGCCAGACGCAATATAATGCCTGGAAATCGCCTCGTCGTTAATTCACTGTCCGCCATCACGATAATACGTTGCTTATGTACCACGTCGACGCGATATCCAACCAAGTTACCCCACCGGTTCAAAATTGTTCTCTTCCATTTCACGCTGCAAACGCTGCCGGCTTGGTATACGACCTTTGATTAAACATCCTGATAACGCGTTTCGTGATTTTCGGCACTGGTCATCAACAATCTGCACGTTCATCCATAGTTTTCAAGGAAGTTTGGTATGATAGTTCGTAGTTTCAACTGTTACGATGGACTGTTTAGAAAGTTCATAATGAAATTTTACTCTGTACAACGCTGTTTCATTAGAACATTACGCATTCGTTTGTATTTGAATCTTTTCAATTTTCTTCTATCTACTTCGTCGTATTATTGTATTTTATTGCCACGAAGACCATCTATTTCGAATAATTATTAGCTCTGTCAAATTTAAGTAGAATATTGTAATCGATTTTTCTATTTTCTTTTCTTATAAGCGGAAGAAGCCTCGAGGATAATGCAGTTTCGTAAAAGTAATTTTTATTGCATAATGTGCACAGTGTTTTTGTCTGATTCTTCTGCTATCTATCGAGTAGCTTCGCGAACGCTTGTCCGAACAATTATTAATCGGTTTTAACGTTGCGATCGTTCAAGTACTTTTTACTCGCCTCTACATTATTCATATCTCTTGAGCAAAAAATATTTTGTGAATAATTATCCTCCAAGTTGTTACAGACCCGATATGTTGCGTAAACCGATTAGAAGAATATTTTCTCAAAGAATATCGGTAATTCCGACGTCCAAAATGTCGTATATCATTGACATTGGCCCTCTGAATTGTTTGTTAATGTGCGCGTGTAGAAGATACAAACAGCTAAGAAATTTCTTTCTGCGGAGAGAATCTCAGACATACGCGAAGAACATAACTTTCGAGTTACAGCGTGTTTTGCTTCTGAGTGACATCGTCGCGCTGCAAATACTTTACGCAAATTTTAACTACGCTTGGTCCGAATGTATAATTTCGCGTTCATTTCGTACATAGTACGACATTACTCGGTGCGATAATAGCGATATATCTAGCATGAGTAATAACTCAGGATTAAAAGCGATTACAGCTATGATGGTGACTAATCGATGGGTGGCTGAAAACTGATCATTAACCTCCCCGTTCCGAACAGATGATTCTGCGACTAGACAGTACCGATGATTTACATCTAGCTTTTACTTCGCATCTAAATACTCCGCTTTTCGTTCGCTCGTTTTCAACTATAAACTTCAAACAGATTCTCCGTTCCCCTTTCATTTCCCACTACCAGTCGATAGAATCTGTCGTTACCAGGAAAAATTTGAAGAAAAGAGAGAAATGAAGTAACAATATACAATATAATGTACAGTGGCTCGTGAAAGTATTCGAATATTTGCTATGTAAAACTTTTACGAATAGAGTATGCGTGTTGTGTCATGCGTATGTATATATTTTTTTTATAATATATGTAACTATACGCGTATGTACCTGCCACCACGTAAAAGTAATTCGGACATTTTTGCTTATTTTTGATGAGATATATATACTAATTATTACGAACACACCGCTTTTGTCGAGATATTTGTAATTATCGAATTTTGCAGAGATGTTTCGTCTCGATTCTTAAATTTCTGAGTTATAATTTAGATTAAGGAAATTCCTCGAAATTGAGGGGAAAATTTCTGATGTTTGCATGCCTGGTGCAAGCAATGATTATTACTTATGAAGTTATTACAGTACGTATGTGTAATTAGTACTAAAATTGAAACTTATTATCGTAATATAATGAATAATTGACTGTTCAAATATCATTGTGATATAGCAGCAAGTATCTTGTAACTTCTATCTTCCAACTTGTTTCAAACTGTACCAACATAACTGTGCGACAATTGCGTTTCGTTACGAGACGAATGAAATTTCAGGTTATTTCGTATAACGCACGTAACAATACTAATAAAGTATTTTTATAACAAGCGCGTTCAAAAGCTACCGTGAGTCACTGTAGATACTTTCGCAAGATTCACTTATTGCTCTCCTCTAATTAATTATCGACCAGCCGCGCAGCCAGCGAGACGCAACCATAATTCTCCTTCCTGCAATCACTTTTACGACCATTCTTCTGTCTCCCCCGAAACAGAAATTCTTTTCTTCGAGCCAAGCGGACTAAACGCCTTCGCGAGACGTCCAAGATTTATCTGAACTACGCTCGCAACCAGGAAGCCTCGTACGACGAGCAATAATATCCGCTGGCTCTCCATTGAGCCGCGGGTTTGTCCAATTTCTTTTTACCGACCACGAAAGATATTTCCGGCCAACTATTTGGCCCGCTAGACTATCCGCACGCGATATTTACACAGAAAATACATGAACAAGCTTTCTAGGTAGTCCAACTACATTATATTTGTAAAAACGAACATGTCTTTGCTGTAATGATAACGATTCGCAATAATGATCTTTGGACTATCTATGTCTATTTCAACTTTATAGGCTTGACTCTGCTGTTGCATGTTAGTATCTGCAAGATGAGTTTATCTTATGCAAATTGTGGAAACCAGTCGTTAGTTTGATATAAATGCAACAACATTGTGACCTGTTAGAGGGAGTACAATACCGTGCAAAAGTTTCAAGTTACCTGTTGGTATTGTTACACTGAAAATTGTGTGATACATGTTACATGTAAGAACAGTTTTAATAATATTTAGATAATAAAAAAAAGATATAATATTACTAAATGGCGCAATTAAGTACAGGCTGAGTCTACATCCCGTAAATGGATAACGGAAAAAGATGTTACTTCACATTTTTAGTTTTATTTTAATGCCTACAAAAATTTCACATTAATAGTCCACCTTCTGTTCGAGAATTAGCCAATTTCACATAGACATACTTAACAAATTTTTATACTCTATCTTTGTGCAAAAAAAAGCGTGATATTTGACAAATTTTCCACGTATGTATCTTGCTCCTTATTCCATTGTATCTCAGTTACGGGACATTCAGTATACGTATAAGCAACATAGAAATCTACAAATCCCAAAAATATAAAATTCTAAAAATCTAAGAATTCAATACGAAACGAAACAACGTAGAATTGATTTAAAAATATGATAAAATTATTTCCAAAGAATATCAATCAGTCAGCCTTACGACTATCACGATCATAGATAGCCCAAGATTTTTGCACGGTACTGTACTTATACACAAAGTACAGGCAAGTATATATTTCTACATGGCCGATATCGTAAAGTACAACTCTATAGGGTGTGAAAAGCAGCCTGGAACCAACAACAATATTATTGCTCTGTAAGACGAGCCACTCGGAGTGGTCGTTCGGCATTTAGATAATCGAGATCGCAGGTACTTTGCAATGTGATGGCAATCGCAAATACTTGGAAACGGTTCTACGGACGATCGTTATGGAGTAGAGCGGCGTTCAAATCGAACGGTCTATGCTAATTCGTGTACTCGCGTAAAGTGTGAATTACGAGAAGAGGACATTCGTGGAATGGTAGAGCAAGTAGACTTCACGTCGACGACATTGAATGCGCACGTTCGATTCGAGAGTTAACTTTTCAAGATTTCACCGATGGATATTGGGACTTCGATAGCTACGATTTGGGAGGTCTGATACGGTTAATTTTCAACTTAGGCGATTCCAGATCGACGATCCTTAAATCGATGGACTTATTTTTCACGGTCTGTAATTTGGCGAACTTAATACCGGTGATTTCTAATCCTGGGCCCAGTAACGCCAATTTTCGATTTGGTAGGCCCAGTATTACCATTTTTCGATTTGCTAGGATTAGAATTAGCGATTTCCGATTCGGTAGCCCCAGCGTTACTAATTTCCTATTCGGAGAGCTCGGTAGGTTTAATTTCTAATTCAGCGTGTCCGATGTCAAGACGCAATATATGTAAGTTGTCGATTCGGTTGACTCAGCTGTCGCGCATTTTCCCAATTTAACGCGTTCCTGATACGTCAGACTGCCATAATGGTAAAGCATCAATGAAACGAAAAAATAAATAATTAATTTTGTTCCTTGTCGTTCACGTGCGTGCACGTTAGTCCTTCTTCGAAAGTATCGAATTTCATTCGCACGTGTCCAACTTTGCAATGCTTCGATCTCACTGTTCTTAGCTTTGTCTCGCAACGAAGA